TAGCCAATAAAATTTAAGAATTTGATAATATCACGTGAATATCGACATTTGAAAATTTCGGACTGATCTACATTTTTTTGATGACTATAGGTGCCTTGCACCATATACGCCATGAAGCGCGTTATGGCCTCAGTCTTCCTTAAGTTTACGATTCTGTTCTAAATAGCACAAAAAAATACTTGCTCATACGTACGTATCACCCAATCGTTATCTCTCCGAAACCTGACACATCGATCAAAACGGGGCCTACTTTTCTCTCTCATAAACCGCCGAAATGTAATATTAGATTCTTCCCGTGTGATACCGTTCTACTTCTGGCGTATGATGAGATGATAGCGTCGCAGCGTAAGAAAGGATGTAGAGCTGGTTGCTTGCTCTGGTTATGGAAGACTGGATTATTACACGGTTTTCACGTAAGTTTTATAATGAAATTATAAATTAACAATTCTTGCTATCGAATCAAGCTAACATTGATCTTCTATGTTTTGATCCATTTAGCGTGAAACATTCCGTGAATTCTCTCCTCGTGGATGCATGGACACAGACAGTAAATCGGATGTTGATAAATATATTTTTTTCATATCTAAAATCTCAAGGACAATGGTATGAGTTGCTCAAAGAAGAAAGATTTAAGCTTAAATTCATTGGTATTTATGGCAGGGAAGCACTCGATAATGCAGGCTTTTATTACCGAAAATCAAACGATGTCGGTCGGAATTCTATAGTACAAGTGTATGCCAATGGGATCAGCCTGGTTTCATCGTCAGTGAACATGCTGTTGATCTTTATATATTATTACTAAGTGAAATGAGTAATGCCCAACATCAAGAACAAACTCCCTCCTCGCATAATAATAATACCCCGAGCCAGGGCGGCCTATTTGAGAATAGCGACTACAGAGGAAACATAGAAAAACCCGAATTAGATTACGTTTCAAACGAGGTTGCTTTCTGCAAGTTGACAAGTAATAGCAATGTAAGTAAAGCGCAAAATTTTTTCAATTGATATAATTAGCGTATATTATTAAATCTGTCAAAACATCTTCTATTTTGTTTAATATGTTTCCATACTGCTTGATTGATTCCCATAGTCAACACCAATGTGATACTTTGGTATTTGTCCGTACGAATATTCGACGTTTTGAGCCATTTCTAGATATCGTCATTAACAAATTGTCAATCGTTATTGGATTTTTAGATCCGGAAGCTCTTACTTTCCAATGGCCAAGTCGCGCCTGTTGGGTCACTCCCCTTCGGCCTTTCAGGCCAGAATGTCAAAGCATCGACAGAAATAGGTGAAAGCTTATGACATCTCTCAGTGGCAAAAGGTTTAATAGGATGTATTGTCTACGCCGTTATTCCGTCATTACTACACGGAACTTTGCCAATATTATAATCCAAGGTTCGCACACGCCTAGGCGACATTCAGCTTTTCGTTCCTGGACCTCCTTTCGCCAACTGCATTCTTCTACAACTTCCAGTCTAACCACGAACATAGCACGAGACCTCATCCATGCTGACACTGAAGATAAGTTTGTGTCTAACCGTCTATAACCCTGTTGAATCCTAGTCTGGGACTTCAAAATATTCAACCTCTTTACAGTCAGTCAACAATAAAGACAATGAGAGGGAGATTGAATCCGTTTAGAGCTGCGAGAATATCTGGTATTGGTACCATGTTTATATAGAAGTTTTGCGTTATGTCATGGTGTTGCCTATGGGTGGTATGGATGGATTAAAGCCTTCGCATCATTTCCACATTCCAATGTTGGTGGAGAAAGACTTTTCGACTGATTACGGTCATGAACTTGTGATTATGGTTTCATGGACGCAATCAGTGATAAGAGTAAGATAATGTAAGTGCTGCATATCCGTTTTCTAAATTGCCTTTTAACTCTTATCTGCATAGATGATCATGAATAGTTTACTCATAATGTTTGCTTTGCTAAGCAGTATATGTTTGTCGACTAGGCCATTCTTCTTGAAAAGGATGAATCTTGGGCGGTCAGTCCACGAACCGGATATGCAATTTCATGTATCAGTCGCCGATTCATGACAATAATGGGAACTGATTGTTGAAGAGTATGTGTATTACATATCGCAATCCTTGACAGAGTTATTAAGCCTTGGGGAGTGCACCTGCGTTGACATTTTCTTCTGCAAGGTATCTCCCTATACGCAGCATGCGTCATGAACACATTGCAGCGACTTAGCATTGGCATGACACATAAAATGATAACTAAGTCTGTAATACTCCCATATAATGGCACAATAGAAATAAAATTGAGCAAGATGTTGTAATACGAACATCCTTACATCCATGAAATACGAATAGACAATCAAGATATGGGTTTACTTTTTCTATGCATATCCGAAACTCTGGATAATAGCAACCTTCCAAGCCACCAAACTAGATCAAGCAGTTGATGTCTGTAGATCGCATTTCTACTATCAAGCGTCTATCTCAGAAGTTGTCGAAATGTAGTATAGACTCCTCGTGTGATGCCGTTCTCACGATGGAGGTATATATCTATTCAGGATTGGAGAAATATACGGAAGACTGAGATCGAAAAAGTTGTGCACATCTGGTGTATGATGGGATGATAACGTTGCAGCGTAAGGAAGGGCGTGGAGTTGGTTGCTTGTTCTGGCTATGGGAGACTGGATTATTACGTAAGTTTTATATAATGAATCTATATTTTAGCAATTCTTATCGAATCAAGCTAACATTGATCTCCTATATTTTGATCCATTTAAGCGTGAAATTATTCTGTGAATTCTCTCCTAGTTCGGCCTTTGTGGGTGCATGAACATATGGACAGTCTGATGTAGGAAGAAACTCCTTACGAAGGAGCGAGATTTGATTTCGGCAGAGCCGTGAGCAGTGTGGGAAGACAGTCAAACGGACATTGATAAATACATGTTCAATTTCTCGGTCGACTTTCGAGCTAACTCCACCAAGTCTTTCTTATTGGCTGTTTATCTCGTCCCCACCACGCGATCCCATCCATGCTGACAATGAAGACATTGAGAGGGAGATTGAATCCGTTTAGAAATGTAAAGGGCTGCGGAGTATTTGATATTGGTCCTATATCAATATTCAAAACTCCTGATCCGCTTAACCCAACCGTTCGCATGGTTTATTTCAACACTCCTCGTTCAGACTCAACTAAATTCAGCTCTATGTCAACGTTATCCCAAAAACAAGTAAAGCTGAAGATAGTGAAGGCGTAAATGTAGGCAACACAGAAGATGAAGAACGTGGAGGGATGCCAGAGAGGATTTCTGTCGGGATGGTACAATAAAAGCGAGAGATGAGGAATGACATTATGGCTGTTTATTCAATTGCGAACGAAATATGCAACACCTCAATCATAAAACACTTACTTTTCGACATAGTATCCAACGCTCGCAATACATCCACTCGATTTTCGATCCTGACGGTACGCTCACAATGCTCACTTCTTCTTCGTGACATAATTTCCACGCGTCTCCTGACCGAGTAATCTAATATGAAATTTCGGGATTATTTATTGATCTCGGAGGGGCATTGGGGATACAATTATCGAACAGTTGGTGAACATCCAAGTTATTCGGCGCAGATAGCGGCTAGTTGGTGATTAAGAAGTTTTGGGTTTTCAATGTCAGGAATTGATTACCAAAGTTCTCGGTTATTGAACAAGAGTAGTGTGTTATAAAAAGACAGTAGGTTATCGGCCTTGCTGAGCGTAATACCTGCGCGACCACTTGACGTCTCGTTCGAGCTAAGTACCCAGTGGAACTGCCCCTCACAGAGATATGAGGATCTTTGATCCAAACAAAGAGCCCTTTATATCATATGGAAGAAAGTATGGAACACAGTTCATAAATCATCTTGCACTGGAATTTCTCCGAAATGGAGAACCACCGGCCGAATTTAAATGAGATTGTTGGATGCGTCCAGATGGATCTCGACGAACATCTCCACAACTTTTCTTTCAACCGTATATCTCATTATCCTAAAAATGTAGATCCAATACACGAAATGAATAACAATTTCATAAAAGTCATGACAGCACGCATCATAGTCCCGCAACAGAATCAACATTTGACCACGATGATAATGAAGAGAGTAGTCTGCAGTTGCATGAAAATTTGACGAAAGCAAAGCCAACAGACCAAGAGCATCAGATCTCCACTCCTTCTATTCCAAAGAAACCCAAGACACATGACCAAGGTTGTCAAACGGACGCGATTATTCTCCCCCAATTTTTGAATCACATCGACACACTTGAAAGATCTGCGAGGAGTGCCAGGACTAGCCGTTACGTTACCGTAGCACAAACAATCAGAGACGACATAATAAGGACGTGCACAAATCCAGCAAGGAATCACTCTCAAAGATTTATTACAAGGCACGGCTAATATGGACATTTCAAAGGATACTACGGGTAAGGTCTCTTCAGCATCTACTGCTCCGATACAATCGCGAATAACAACTGAAAAGTTACGTATGTAGTTCCGAAGAAGCGCGGCCCTGGAAGGCCAAGAAAGAAATTAATACGCGAAGCGGACACTGGGACAACAATCACGCGACGGTCACCCAAACGGCGCCGCGAAACGAGTGTATCTGGTAAATCAGATACTAATGACGGTATCTCTGGATCGAAGATAAAAAACGTAAAGAAAAAACAAGCAGTCAAGGCGCCATTGTATAGACGACGTCGTCTGCTTCCGATAGAAGCTTTACCGGGGGATGACCAAAGGATATTAGCCATGTTTGACATTATTAAACCTGATGTTAGCGCGGAAGAATTGGAGGGATTATATGTAAAAGCATATAAATATTTAAAGGATTTGAAGGTTGAATACAGAAACCTAAAGACACAAGAAAGGAAACTGACCAAGCAGGTCAATGCTCGGATCAGAGAAAATTCAACAGCTATGATAAGAGTCAGTCCCGATCCAATCTCACCTTTGAACCACAGTCCTCAAGAGAGACTGGATTTGACTAAAACTTCGCATGCCTGATGTGTATGATCTCTAATTTACGGGATTCTACCAGTCATTGTAATCTGTGGATTCAGCAGTTGGACGAATTAAGGATTGAATATAAGTTGTTATTTACATATAAATAAAGTCATATCAATTTATTCTTTGGAGTATTCTCAACCTCTCTCTCTACTTCACTCATTAAGTAGGTCAAATAAAGTTAAATTTTACGTATGGTCATTGTTTTGAATACCGCTGGCTTTAATTCTTCTCTTTAAAGATTAACTCATTTCCAAAGTCAATTTTTTGTCGCAAGGATGAACTTATTAGCGTACAAGCACTTTTAATTCATTGTATTCGAACCGTATTGATAAGGGCGTAGGTATCATCAAACATGAACTTGCAGGCGTTTTACGCACACATATTTGGTAGCAAATGGTGGTGTAGTAATAGAGGCGAACAATTGACACATCATACAAAACACGTCTTTCCAGCTGCGATAGCTCGCCCAAGTTTTGTCAGATGCCCTTTCACGCCAGAATGTCAAAGCATCGACAATGATGACATCTCAGTTGGAAAAAGAAATCCCATACTTCATTGCTACGGAAAGATTCACCAATGTTATAATCCAAGGTCCGTACGCGCTAGGCGACATTCAGCTTTTCGTTCTGGACCTCTCCGACATGCTTGCTGCCAACTACTTTCTTCCACTCGATAGGTGTTTAGTCTGATCAATGTCGTCCTTGCGATTCAATTTCTCGGTCGACTTTCGAGCTAAGTCTTTCTTATTGGCTCTCTGTTTATCTCGTCCCCACCACGCGATCCCATCCATGCTGCCAATGAAGACATTGAATCCGTTTAGAAATGTAAAGGGCTGCGGAGTATTTGATATTGGTACCATGTCAGTATTCAAAACTCCTGATCCGCTTAACCCAACCGTTCGCATGGTTTATTTCAACACTCCTCGTTCAGACTCAACTAAATTCAGCCTTTATGACATCTATGTCAACGTTATCCCAAAACAAGGAATGCAAAGACAAGCTGAAGATAATGAAGGCGTAAATGTAGGCAACACAGAAGATGAAAGAAATTGGCGGGTGCCTAAATTAGAATGTCTATTTATATCGATATACAATCATTTCTATGCATAGGACATTATTTTCTTTTTCATCATCATCTTCACCGGCAAAGATTTATTTATCCTGGCTCGTCAGTGTTTACACACATCTGGTGGTAGCTAACATGAGCTAGCAACTGTATATATTCGACAGAAACTCCTTCATCCTCATCAATACATCTTCCTTCCCTAGACCTCTTCGTTCGTCTTAACCTAAAATTCCAATTTGAAATAATAAAACCAATCGATCTTCTCAGTCCCATGTGTTGGTTATTATTTCGTCTCCAACTGCGTTGTTCTCGTCACATAAGTTATGCGGGTTTGACGGAATGATTTAGTAGTAGCGCCCCTTGAGCGTGAAACGTCCAGAAACTGTACCTCAAAGTAGGTTGGCCACGGTGCAGTAATAGTAACGTAGTATTATAATTATATATAATATGAGAGTGTGGCCGCAGTATAGTCGTAGATCTGGCAAGGGTTCACAACATCCGACTGCATTCAAAATAATAATAAAATAACATATACGCGCTATACGGTCTTGGAAATGTTCGAGTAACACTTCTGTAGATTGGTATCCCATTTGGTAATCTGTTCTGGTCCGCCATAACACTGTTTAGGAATGTCCTTCGCATCAAACAATTCCACATTAGAATCATTGAACTGATACCATCGTCTTTCTGTTGACGGATCGCCAGGTGCTGGCTTGCGTTCTTTGATAATAGTAATGTCGGTGCTAGTGTGTACTAATACACCGACGAGTTCGTATTCGTATTGAGACTTGTTAGACGTGTCCATGTCCAGTTGATCGGATTCCTTCTTCGTTAAATAATCAAGAGTGAATGGTTCCATGTTGATTTCAGTAGGAAATTCAAAAAAGTCGTTGATTTTGAAGCTTCGAAATCGAAATCAAACCGGTTTAAATGTATTATTAATTGATTTGGTAATTTTTTAAAGCATGTCCTATTTGGATGAGAATAGAAATCAAACCCTGCTTGGTTGATAATAATTTTGACTACAATATAGCAAACATAATAACATATGTACAAACCTCTTAATTGCATCGACATGTACTCCGCACTTTGTACAAGAGTATTTATTATCTATTTAATAATATCTCTTTAGCATTATCTCGTCACTATCAAAACGAATATAATTAAAAAAGCGATACATACCCCCATCTAAATCTCTCCTAGTTGCAAGCTCCCTTCAACGCTCCCTTTATTCTCCTCCCTTTCAGATACGTGCGTACACTCGCGATTTTATCTGCCGCACTGTCGTTCCTCCAAAAATGTTCCTTAAACAATACGGCCTGAGGTGTACCGGTCACACTGTTCTCCAATCGGTCAAATAATCCAGCAAAACATCCATCTGTACGGCAACATTGAGAGGTTGTCCGTCATAGTCCTTATATGCACGACAGAAACGCGTTGCTTCATATGATTTCTTTGAACTTTCTTGTAATATCATTCGTGCAATTTCCTGTCTCGACTCTTCAGATTGACATTGCGCGAGAGCAGACAATAGCCATTGACGTAGATTGAGATATTTAAGAAGGCTGTTCAGCGCGTTTTCATCATTGAGACACAAGCACAACAAGAGCCTTGTTGCGTGTTTGATAATAAAGACATCCTCTTCCACTAATAGGGATTATCAATAACATTGTTAAAAAACGTTTCTAAAATCTGATTGTTAACGTAACAAATTCTCATATACCTTGTTCGTGGGATGGATCCGTACTATTTCTATCATCTTCACAACAAGATCGGCTTTATTGATTCTCTTGAACGTTTCTCCGCTAGCAGGGGAACCATCTACGCACAACAAGAGTTCATAACCAATTACCAAAGGCTGCACTACAAACCTCTTTAAAACAAGACGTTTACTTACTGCTAGCAAAAAAGTCAATGACTTCAGTAAAAGGCCCAAACATGCACGCTTCTTCACACTCATACTGCCTTCATGACCATCAGATAATAAGTAATCCAATCCACCTATCTAGAAAGCGCGCACACCATTCGTCTGCGTCCACCGTCTCATCTCCTCCTCTCAATAACTAGTCGACGATTTGCAGGGCGTATAGCATTCTGAAAGGCGATCGGCTGTCAAAAAGGTTACTCCATTGCACAGGCGTTTCCATCATTTTTAGAGTATCGAGCATCCGTTCGTTAGTTGGTAGTCGCATAAGAAGATCCCATATCTTCAATGCGGATGACAGACAGAATAATAAATTGTGTTATATAAGAACTGATAATAGAGCCGGTTTCATATACATTCTTGGACACAAAATTCCTACTTGCGATGCATCAACGTCCATTCAAGAACAAATCCATCGACTATTACCGCTTGACCCGATCTGGGAGACAGTTGAAATTCCATCCTCTGTGCAAGGAATTTGACATTCCGTAGCGGGCCGGTGAGATACAATAAACCTTGGAAGGTGAATTCATGCAAAATCTATTGTTGTGATATAATCATGACGTATTCAACACACGTGCAGAAATGTCAATGTGTGACAATATGAACTCTTAATATTTCTGTATTCGCGGTCCGTGCGCTATGTAAGACGGAATATTGACATGCAGGAAAGATATGCAACTGTTCATCAACGTGTGAATGAATGTATCATTCGCAGTGAGACAATTGGCTTTGCTGGTACCCATAACAGGTATGAATGATACTATGGAAGAGAATTGTCGTGTTCGCAACGGGATACAGCTTTGTTTGCCCTGTTTAGCTCCTTTCAAAGAATTCTCTGTTTCTGCTGCCGCTGGTGGGACGTGTTCAGTTTGCTAACAGGACTATCGACATTGTCGTGTTTTTGTTTCTCATAACAGGTATGAATGACAATGAACGTTAGAATAGGAATATCGTTATAGAGAAGCGGACATGTTACGAGATTGACGTATTTTCAATGCGATTCCCAAACTCTGCCCTCTGGAGAAGGAAAATCTTCATGATAAGACGTTCCATTAGGTCAAATGTAAAAATCGGTTTGCAGCGTCTAATAAACATGTATATTATAATTAATAAACAATTATAGAATTTATCCATCATTTGAATTTATATTCCTTGTACCTTACCAGCCTAAGCATCCTCGAGAAACGATAATCATTGCCGTCTCCGTCATTAGTCACCGACTCCAATAAGCGCTTCATCGTTAGAACATGCGGATGCTGGACAGGTGTCGTAAGTTGTTCCGGGTAAACGAGATGGATCATTACAGTATGATGGCAAGCCGTCTGTTAAACATCATTTCCAGTCACAGAGTCCAAAAATGACATGTCCACGGGATAATGCTTAGACAGGATCGAAGCCATTAAGCTAAACATACAGTCACATAGATTATAAATCCAACCAAACTTCTCCTCAAACAGACTTTTCGGATTTCACTCTGGCTCTTTTCAATATGTGACGAAATCATAGTTTCTATCCGTCTCATTTTCGTCCGTGTTTTTATCAAATGCCCCCCTATACCCATGCTTGCACATCGTTCACCATCACCACTGTCCTCATCATTCATCTTCTTTCCTTCTTCCTGTTCTTCCTCTTACTCATATCATTCTATTACAAATTTTCAATTATATTACTCTCAGACATCGAAATAACCCTCCAATCCGATCCGCTTACTTGCAATTCATACCGTTTAAATAATTTCTTGCTGCTTCTCAAATACGTCTATTTATCAGATTAATTAAAGTGTTAACATCAGTCAGACCAGATTACTAACCGACGATGACATTCTATCTACAGTATTTCTCGAGTTTTGTAAAAACGTGAACTCCTCAATCGACCGGGACATACCTTCAGGAGCGTCTATCTCTTTTGGTTAGAGAGAAGTACTTGAGTTTTTGTGAACGTTGGGAAACGATTGATGCAATGTTTAAATGGTGAAACAAACACCAGCAATACCAGCAACATCAGCAATAATCAAACGAAAGGGTAGTATTTTCTCTCGGGATCACTGATCGCGCCTAGACCTTTCTTTATGATACGTATGACTGCTAGTCAATGTTGAGGAGGACAGGCTCATGTTTGGTTTTCTGAATCTTGGACGTTCGTAATGCTGGCATTTCTAGTAGGGGATTGTTAATGGGGATGGAAGTAAGTTAGACACGATGATAGGCAACGCGAAGAACAGTTATCGAACATGTGAATTGTATGGTCTTGTAGTGGGTAACAGAAAACCAAGAACGTATCTAACAATCCTTCCTCAACCCTATATACCTACACAATCTGCACTAAATGAGGTTGCATTTTATATTATAAATCGGGTGAGTAAATTGTATTGTGATGAATGGAATAGGAACTAATGTATTTATAGATGTAACATTTGGATTTAGATAATGGTAATACCACGATGAAAAGCAAATAAAACGTAATAGAAAGTAAAATAATTGTCGCTATTTAGAATAGAAGCTATAATGATTATAAACACAATACAGTATAAAGAAGATAGGGGTAGGGTAAAACGAATAAGGGCTAACGGATTTACACAAGATGCATAAACACAAACAGAGAAAGCCTATTCAATAATTAAACGTGAAACAACACATACCACTATTAACTGCTGCACTATGAGACGCCATATCGTCTGCTCCGATAGCCTCCTTCAAAACATTAACGTCTGCTGCAAGTTGTTGTATTCTCTTGGACACTATTGGCTGAATAACATCCGTCTTGCTCTTCTTAATCTGAAACATTAACAAATATTATTATCATCATGTATACTGTATCTAAATTATAACAAAATGAAATAATAAAAAAAAATTAACCAATAACTCACGATATCTGTCAACGATTTGAACGTATTACGTTTCTCTGAATTCAGATTCAATACTAATCGTGGTTCATCAGAGTTGAGCACACGTTCAATCAGCATAGCGACTGATGTATGTTTGTAAGCACCTTGGAGTCTGACATTTTCAGACGAGTTGTTGTAAAGATCGTGAAGCATTGTGAAAACAATCCCGGTGTCAAGGTCAACCGTTTCTAAAGGAGCCTGCTGCGATTTAATTGGGGGGAAAAGAGGAGGTGGGAGAGGAAAAGCTTGAAATTTAGTATGTTGTATACACGATCGCGCATTTATCGCACATTATTTACAAACCCCATCTCAATAAATCCATACTTAACAAAAACCCCTCTTGGTTCGAATATCAGACATACAAAGTTGCACGGCTCTATCATATTCTTCCATTTCGACGCCCGCTGTAGCCGTGCGAATAATAACGTTTGCATATGGTTTATACCTCTTCTAATCTCTTAACCTCGTCCGATGACAATTTCTGCAAGAATGGTCTATAAACGTGGATGCGTGCGTTTGTTGATAATGAAGGACCGTTGCGACCAGGTACACCAAGAAGGGGAAGAAACGGCGAGCGTGGACCACCAAAGTATATGTGAAGGTCTGCTGTATTGATGAGATGGGTAAAAGAGAACGTGTTGTGGATTAAATGTAAATAAGCCAACTGTCTTTATCCGTGTGACTGACCTTCTGATGATGCTTGAACTGCTTTCTTCTGCCAGTCCAAATGACTATCAATCAAGGGCTGCAGTATCTCTGTGCATATATCACGAGTACTTGGTATCTTCAACATATAGCACAGTATGTTTATTACGTGAATATAAATGTCATGATCAACTCCAGGATGCAGAAAGTGAATTAAAAGTCTTGCAAAACTTTTCTTTCCGGCCATGATTCAAGTGAACTTTTAGAGACTTAAAAACAATGATAGAGAATAGTTATTAGGGGGGTGAACAGGAAATAATGGTAGTTTGCGAAGGACAATAATTTAGCATAACAGCATAGTTTCTTTACCTTCATCGGAAGCACGGACGGCCAACCTGAGATAAATATGAATACATTCAAACACTGAAGAAAGATCTCATCTCTAAAGAGATTTTCTAATCTTCGGTATAAATTCTCTTCTTCGCGTATCTTTTCAACGAGAAAACAATATTGTTAGCACAATCACAGCGTGTATAATGAGTCATTGCAATCCATATTTACCCGTGACAGAGTATCGAAAACTTGATTTTCGCTGAATATCCGAAGATCATAGACTGTATCTCGATATAAGAATTGATATAGCCTTCAGAAAGAAAAAAACCAGATAAATCTCCACCCAATTCGATCAAGTAAAAAAGAAGAAAGTTTCGTCATTATCCTTACTTCAATACTGTTGCTATTTTTCTATTGGGGGGTGCACAATTGGGATGATTAAGATTATTCAACAAGCTCTTCCAGCATGTCATTCTGAACTCTGGCACTTATTTTAAGTAATTCAAGCAATTCATCCGTTTTCTGAAACAAATTTAACTTTTAGCACCATGTCCTTGAATGATAAATTAAACCAGTGCGTGGGTAATATTTATATTCTACCACGTACATGTTCCTGATAAAAGTC